GGGGGGGGGGGGGGGGGGAGAGTGGGGTCAAAATAAATAAAAATGATTTAAAACCTTAAATGAGGGAGGGATTGGATTCTTATTACAAAAAAGCTGTTAGTGGGGACAATAGTGTCTGTTAAGTCCAGTTGTTTTGATTAAGAATGATGTTTTGTTAGTGCAATTGAGCTGGAATCCAAAGTTCCCTACTTTTAAGAGATTAAACCACCACTAATTTGTTACACCTTAGATTATTTTGATCAAAATTTACTATCCATCAAAAGTAACTTCTAGGAGTATTTTTTTTTTTTTTTTTTGGGGTTTGTTGGAATTTGAATTCCCACTTCTATGGTTTTCATTCTATATTATAATTGTTTTATGATGTTTATAAAAATAAAAATGCTTATTACTTAATTTATACCAATTTATATGATATTTTTCGCTTCTCGAGATTCATACTATTTGAACTTAGACCATCATTTTCGGATGTATATTTTTTCATCAAATTGACATGAGAAGTTGCAACTTACAATATTTTCGTATAGTTTTTTAATATTAAAATGTTAATATAAAATATTGAGGATCTTATTCATTTTAGCTTTAAAGATTAATCGAATTGACTTCTGATAAGCAAGCATATAAAATTGGGACGGATGAAGTACTTTCTTTTGTTTTAACTTCACCTTACTCCAATTAGTGGATTTTAATTAAGTTTTAAAAAATAAATAAATGATAATTTTGATAAATGCAGACTATTAAATGTTTTTTTTTTGAAGTGTGAAAAACTTTAGAGATAATATGAATTAAAATCTCATTTAGTATAATCCTGTTAATCGAATGCTTTAATTGATATTAAGTGAAGAAGCAACTCGATATACCCTCTTCCACCCAAAAGAAACAAAAATAATTTATTGCCGCGGACTTACCCTTAGGATAGGGGTCAAACCCCCCCCCCCCCCCCCCGGTATAATTTCAGAAAAATATATGTATATGTATGCATATAACCTAAATAACATGTAGTATATTTTGGTTGACACCTTAAGACTCAAAGCGTAAGTAGTCGCATTGGTCGATTTAGGCAGTACAACTTGACTTTTAATGGGCTGCCTAAGTTCGATTCTACTCCAGCATTTGCTCAAATTTTTATTCAATAATGATATTCTCGCCACTTTTAAATCCTAGTTCCACCTCTATTTATAGCTACACAAATATCTATAGCATATTTTAGATCAAGAGTCAATATAAATTAGAACGGGTGGAGTAATGATTTATTTAAGAAAAAACAGATAGAAATGGATAACTTGAAAACTTAGTACGTAAAAAAGAAGATAAAACTAGTGGAGTTCAGATGTGTACAGATTGCTTTAAGAAGCAGCCATGAGAATAAGGAAAGTTAAAACTTTTTCTCCATGAGAAGCTGTCAGCAAAATCCAACATCTTATAAAAACCAACAAGAAAATATCTGCAGCCATAACTTGTTTTTGGAGGCTGTTCTAAAATTTATTTGATTTGAATTTATGTAATTGATTTTTTATACTATATATATAATACTTTTATTTATTCTTTCTGATCCCAAATATTCGTCGTATAATGCATTTATTTTAAAATATTTGACGTTTTTCTAAGAACAAGTCCTTTAGATCTTGGGTTGGAGTCACGCTGGAGGGGAAGTGTGGAACACTATAGATCCTCCTAATTTGGGAGGGGTTTAAAAAGTAAAAAAAAAAAAAGAATTTAAGTGGGCGTTTGGACATAAGAATTGTAAAATTCCAAAAAAAAAAAGTAAATTTTTTTTTATGGTATTTGAAAATGAGAGTTGTGTTTGGACATGAATATAATTTTGGATTGTTTTTTAAGTTTTGTGAGTGATCTGAGTAAAAATTTTGAAAAACAATTTTTTGGAGTTTTTTAAATTTTCAAAAAATTCCAAGATTCATCTTCAAGTGACAATTGAAAATTTTATGGACAAACACTGATTTCGAAAAAAGTGAAAAAATTCTTATGTCCAAACGGGCTCTAAATATATTTCTTATGAAATATGCAACTTTTTTCTAGTTTTCAAACAAGTTAAAAAATCATACTTCTAGAGAAGATACATGAATCTTCCTTTTACTAGTCCTTAAAAAAGTCAACTTGGTTTGGTGAATTAGAAAGATTTTGCAGTTATTTGTTAAATCATTTTGATCATACCAAACCTTTTAAAATCATGAGAGGAAAAAAAAGAAGAAGAAAGAATGATGGATTTTGACTGCATGAAGAGATGTTTAATCATAGCATTTCCATAATTAACTCCGGACATAACGAACAATTAGGGTCCACTAATGAAAGGGATAGTTTGAGGGAGATTGATTGAATATGTTATTTTCTTTTGGGATAGTTGAGATTATTGATCAACCAATTATTTATTTTTTAAATATTTAATCGGGTGTTCGATATCTATATTGGGATTCCAATCAATTGATTTTCGAGATAGGGTAGTGGGATTTTGGGGAAATTAAGTAGGGACATTAGCATAGTAATTTCTTGCTAGAAGCAGGGGCTAGGGATGACTTTCGCTCACACCCTATATTTTTGCCTAAAAACTATTTTAAAAATACAAATAATTTGAAATCATTAATTTAGATGGGATGTGGTGTAATTGCAAATATGAACCCGTAAAGTTTAAATTTTAGAACCGCCTCAGTCTGCAAGTGTTGTACATTATGCTACAATAGTTGTACGTTGATCGGGCAAGGTAAGAATACAAAAGACGTTATCAATTGCGACAAAACAAGATTACTCGACCCGTGAGAGAGTATAGAGTGATTTACTTGAAGCAAAGAGTGAGCCTACAAAAACAATTCTTGAATTTTCATTCAGCTCATAACAATTTTTTGATACATTATTCACCTTATATAATTCTTTGTACTATTATTTATCTTAGAATAATTTGTGTATTTTAATCCCTATATAATTAGTAAGTTAATTAAACAACCAAATTATAGTACTTTTGATTATCAAGTCCTTGTTGTGTGGTTGGAAGAGGAGGGGTCCAATTACCAGGCTGTCAATCTTCCCTATCATGCTGTATATATCATACCTTCCGTTCACTTTATGTCTCTTTCTTTCAACTTAAGCAGCAAATTTTCTCTGATATCGTTTGGTATGATATTAATAGGAAAAAGATATAAGTATCCCTGACCTATAGCCGGATTTTCAACTACGCGGAGGTCTTAGTATCCTCTCTGAACTTATTAGAAGTAGAATTATTGTGATTCTTCGGAGGAGCCTTCAGAATTTGAACTTTATGATTTCTAAACTGCGCAACGACGGCTTTAAATACTAATAACTAAATTACAAAATTTATAATCTATACATATTTAGTGAATTTCATAATACGTTTAAAACAAATTTACTAAGGTCGGTCGAATCCATAACTTACCTTCTAGCTTCGACTTTGGATTGCAAGTGAGAAGAAAAAGCAGGTTGTGATTGTGAAGATTGAATAACTAGCCCCATCATTTTGCTTTCACCAACTAGATCTTTTACTCTCATTTCACCAATCAATTGTAATCTCTAAAGAATATCTCAAGATTTCTACTTAATATCCATATCAAGAGGTACATAGATTTGGATTATGGCAAAGATTTGCGTCCTGTCAAAGTAATCT